ACTCATTGGTAACTCTTTCGCCTTGCCAGGACCGATTAATTAGGAGAAACAATTTGCTCCAATGAGGTTGTATTCTTTCAGTGTTTTGGAAAAGAAAAAATAAATGACCACTGTGGTACCTCTTTTACTCTTTTCTTTATTTCTCGTTTTTAAGTGGTCTATAGACAAATTGAAAATGCCCAGCAAGGAGTAAACAAGCATGGAATAATTCCCTGCCCCACAAAGTGGTGACTTCTAAAAGGAAATTGCCAGGCTTAAAGACGGATTCCATTTCAGCTGTCAAGACCCGAGTTACAAGGGAGTCCAGGCCCCACCCTCACAGGCACAGCAGCTGAAAAATCCCATTGAGAACTCTCCTTGTACTCTCTGTGAATGGCCCCAGGCTCACCCACCCCTCTATGGAGCTCTTGGTAAATGGCCACAGGCTCACCCACCCCTCTACTTCTAAAGCTTTGAATAAGAACACAGACACACTCTGCAGGAGTCTCCCCCAAGCGCCTCTGTGTACCAGCTCAGTGAAAGGCTCACTTCACCATAACCTTTCCATAGCCCATGCTACCTTAAATTACTCTTTGTTGTTTACCTTTGGGTTTCTCTTCCCAGGGACCTAAGACCCTGGAACATAGGCAGTACCATATGTTTAGACATCTTCAGCTTAGAGATCCCGTGAAGAAATGAGTGCAATGGTGAGTTAGTCAGAGATTCAAATTCATGCTCTAGAAGAAGAGGTGATAGCATTGGTTCACTCTGACCCCTGGGCAAGGTTTTCTAGATGAAAAGTAGAGATTCGGGGACAACGTAAGAAGCCAAGGCTGCTGGCATTGTTACTTAATCAGAAAACACTGCTATGGGAGCCAGACTGGTCCTACAAATCACTGTCTTCCAGACACTACAAGGAATGGGTTCAAGCCCTGCAGATCCTCCTGTCCTCGAGATGATGGAACCTTGGAGCTATGGGGTCTTCCCCTTCTGGTTTGCTGGGGTACAGAGTTGCAACACAAAGCCATATATCTATTCTCAACACACTAAATGTCTGCTTCTTGCTAATCTGTGTCTGAAATATTCATTTAAAAAAAAGTAACTTTTCTGTCTCTGTATGCATGGGGTAATCCTGGACATAAATATTGTCTCAAAACTAGAAAGATTTATTTCAACTCTCGGTTAAATATTTTCAGTTAGGTATGGTGGCATATGATTTTAATACCAATGCTTATGAGGCAGAAACACACAGATCTCTGTGAGTTCAAGACAAGCCTGGCCATAGTAAGTTCTAGGATAGCCAGGGTTACATAGAGAGCACTGGCTGTTCTTCCTTAGGACCTGAGTTCAAGTCCCAGCACCCACACTACAGTTCACAACCCTCTACAGCTATAGTCCCGTGGGATGTGATGCCCTCTCCTGGTGTGCAGCTGTACATGCAGACAAGACACCCGTATGAAAACATAAATGAATCCTAAAAAAGTCTTCAGTTTCCTTTAATGCCACAACTGAGATAATTTCTATGTCAAGAGGCAGCCTCTTGTCCTAGAAGACCCCAGAGTATGTTTCCTACTTTTGCTTGAAAGAAAAAGAATAGTAAAACGATCGCCACAATAAACATGGGAAAGTTTTTAAAGCCTTCTGGGGTCTGCTACTCAAAAGACACTGGCTTAGGGGGCTGGGGAGAAGACTCCTCTTGCTTCTCAGCTGCCAACGCCTGTCCGGCTTCACACCTGTAACCCAGCTCCAGAGCATCCGTTACTCTCTTCTAGCCTTCATGGGCACCTGCACACACGTGGATAAAAATAAAATAAATCTTTAAGCAGAGACGGGGCGGGAGGAGATGTTTACTTGTCCACTCCAAAGCCGAGGGTGGTCTGGGCATGTTTTGTGCTTTCTCCAGGGTTTCGCCAGCGGCATGCAGAGCAGATGCCAGGACACGAGCCCATCTTGTACATGTCCATCAAACCGGTTCTCATTTTATTTCACGCCATGATTGTACATGGGCCCTTCTATGAACAATGCCATGGTTGGAGTGCAAAATTCCCCCACCCCCGGATGCCTGTGTTTGCACACCGGCCACTCTATTTTGAGAGGTTGTAGAACCAACTGGACATAATGCCCAGCTGGCAGGAATACTGCCCTAGTATCATAGGAGTGGGGCTTATGGGCTGCCTCTGCTTCTTGATCCACCGATACATTATGCTTCCAGCTCCCAGCACCATAGTTGAAGCCCTGACCATCGTGTCTTTCCCACCATGAAACTAAAATAAGTCTTTAGTCCCTTAAGTTGCTTCTCGTCAAGGACTGGTCCCAGTGAGAAGAAAGTAACTAATATGGATGGGTATGTTTATAAAGGAAGGAAGTTGTACCTCATTTAACAGACTCCTATACCAGGCACTGGGTAGTTAAAGCTCCAAATGCTGGCCATTAACACAGCTCTCTCTGTGTGACCTGCCACTGTGAAGAGAAGGTACAAAAGGACCCCAGAAAGGTTCCTCGGCAAAAGGGCCGGAGCTGTACACTCTGAGATGTAAACGACTTGGACTCAGACTATTGTACCTGATCGGGGTCGGACCGTCTCCAGGGTGACTCGCTGTCTATGAGGAGGTCTGATGAGAGCGGTAGATCCAACTCAAATGTTCTGTGAGGGTGCAGCAGCAGTTGCTTTCACTAAAGAAATTTAAATATGAGGTCACCAGAGAGCTGAACAGTTGGTAGCAGGTGCCGAAGCCAAAGGACACCGGGAGGAAATCAGGGAGCAAGGAACTGAATTGCCTTGGCGGCTAAGCCCCGTTAGTAGGACAGGCAGATGCCTGCTACTGAGGGGGCCGCAAGATAACCCCAGCCTGGAGCTGCATCCTGAATGACCTTCCAGTTCCTGGACTTCAATCCAGTTTTCGTGAGACCTGGCTGAGCGGCCTTTCCGGAAGGCTTTTGGGAGACACGTGGCTGAGTGCTGGAGAATTCCGGTCAGCCTTCCTTTCACAGCTAACCCAGTGGCATCTGTCCCTCACAGCCCCTCATCCAATCATAACAATACTCAAGGCCTAGCACTGTCTCTAGCACGCAGCTAGTGCTAAAGTAATAATAATAAAATAAGATAAAAATTTGCAGGTGTTTGGAGGACATGCCCAGGGAAAAAAAAGCCTTAAAATGAAATCACTTATGAGAGAGAGAGAGAGAGAGAGAGAGAGAGAGAGAAGAAGGAGGAGGAGGAGGAGGAGGAGGAGGAGGAGGAGGAGAGAGAAATATTGACTAAAGTCAGCTTTGTATTCCAAATAATGCTAAACTGGGAATGAATATATGAATATATTGAGCTTTTCCTTGGGCCCAATCTAAGATACTCTGCTACCATGCCTCTAGAAAGAAGGAAGTATCACATTGTGCAGCCAGCGGAGAGCATCGTGCTTGATTCAGGTGAGGTGTGTTTGGAAGACTTGCTTTGCACTTGGTTTAATCTCTCAATCACAGTAATGTTAGTAAGAACAATTTTCTGCCCACGCTAACTTCACTGACAAGCCTCCAAAGGAGCTGATCTTTGACTCTGAGTACTTGTAATAATATGTGATCCTCCCCCCACATTGCCACACACATTTCCCCTATCTATTGTCTCGGTTTCTTCAGGAACACATACTCCCCAACAACCGGATGAGTCATAAAATAAGATGTGCATAGATGTAAACCGAGCCTGTTTATGCTTTCCCTGTCGCCGACTAATAAAATTAAAGAGACCCTCCTAAATTCAGGTACAGTGGTTTCTGGTGAACAGGTTTCCCTGAGCAAGAGACGTACCTTATTTAGCCTATATCAAAGACAGAACTCCATGCCTCTGTGAAGAAAACGTATTTACAGTTCAGCCATGCATAGGGTGTGCGTGGACTTGTCCTCCTCTTGTCCTTTACCGGGAAGGTTCCCGGCTGCTTCTGGTGTTCAGCTAACCCACAGAAGGAATGTTGCAATGGTCTCTACCTCTCCCCTTCTCAGAGCTCTGAAAGGAAGGCCGAGTCCATCCCAGGCAAACTGCTGGACCCAGCCCTGGGCTTCCTTAGGTTCCCCAAACACTGTTTCAAAACTCTGAACCAAGGCAGGTTTTGCCCTACCTCCCTTGACCTCTTCCTGATAAAGTGATCTTACGCCTCTGGAATTGGGATTTTGAATGTATGTGCCTACCCCAAGTCTGGTATTATATTACAACGGCATGGAAACGGAGCCTAGGACTGAGCAGTCGGCCAGCCTCAAAAGCCTTCTTCACTGCCTGCCATGTAATACATGATATGCAAAGCCTCTGACTTCAGCCAGCAGATATTTGGAGACCGTGTTGGCCCTACCATGGGGACTAAACTAATGTGTGTTTAGGTCAGAAAGCGAATCAGAAAAGCCACTGGAGGGCACGTCACGCAGTGAGAGCTCTATAAATGCATCCCCACTCGCAGCGTCCTTTGGCAAACGCTCTGCTCTCCTCTCCCTGCTGTTCCGCGCTTCTTCTCGGTGCTGGGAGAACTTCGGCAGGCAGTTGTCTTCTTGACACAGCCTTCTGCCTTGCAGAAAAGCGGGAGGGCGCGACAGTCCAGGAGGAAGGACAGCCTTCGACGGGCGCGAGGGAAGCCCCAGAGTAGCCTCCAGCAGTCAGAGCGCCCTCCTTCGGAGCTCCGGACGTCGCCTCCAAGTTGCGACTGTCCCCTGGGGCTGCTGTGAGCTGAGCTCCCCGCGTTTCTGTGGATCTACCCGGCTAGAAGGAGCGAACCCCGCGGAGGTTCCTGCACCCCTGGGAGGGGCGCTCCGCGTCACCCACTCGCACCCCAAACCCGCGCCCCCGCAGCTCCAGCGCCTCTTCTCCGGATCTCCGTTCCTCCCCCAAGCCGTCACTGCCTCCGGACGTCCCCTCCCCCCGTCCCGGTTCCGCGCCCCCCACTCCCCAACCCCGGCCCCCAGGCCCGGGCTCTCCGCGACCAGCCTGCACTCCTGGCGCCCTCATGTCTTCAAGGGACTGCCAGCGCGATTTGACGTGGTGTCTCCTTCGGATCTCCAGGCAAGACCTCGGCATCATCAGACAGGCCCGCCTCATACTCTCAGTCACCGCGCCCCGAGGAGGTGCAGAGTGAGGCGATTGCTTCTGAGCCGCCCGCAGCGCCCCAACCCGGTGCAGCTCCAGCCCAGAGCTCCGCGCGCGCAGCCGTGTCACCCCTCAGCCACAGCAAAAGCTGCTGTTCAGACTTGGTCTTCTTGGGGTCCAGGAGGCCGGTGTGGGAGGTGTCGGCAGTCTTCTCGCTCCTCGCGGTGGTGGCGGTGGCGGCGGCGGCGGCTGGCACGGTGGCCGCCGCCTCCTGCGTGTCCTCGCTGTCCGGCGCGACCCCTGGATTGCGTACTCTTGATCCCGACCTTCTGGGCGGGGCCCCGCGCTCCTGCCCGCGGTCCGGATGGGTCTCCTGGCTGGGATTCGGGCCACTTGGAGTTAATGTCCAACTGGGGGTCTACGGAGACCGGATCCGAGGTAAGAGGGGAGAAGCGTGCTGGAGGGGACCCGGGCGGCGACGGTGTTGTCTGAGGGCAGAAGGGCGCGGCTGAACCCCAAGCGGACTACTGAGTGTAAAATAGGAAGGCTAGCCGGAGCTCAAGAGACAAGCCGATCCGAGGAACGCTAGCCTTGCCGAGGGTACGTTGCCTTTTCCGCGTGGGAAAAAAAAAAATCTATGGAGCGCCTGGTGCCCTGGAACCCTGAAAGGCCGGAGGTCTGGGGGCTATTCCCCTGCTCCACCCTGGTAGGGCGCTGCTCTGTGCGGTCCTGGAACCGTGGGAGACTTGGCTATCCACTAACCCACCGCCGCCAGTGTCTTTTCCAGAGTGCAACTGCAGCGTTATCATAGCTCGGAGTGTAACTTACTGTTGAGCTTGTTTTGGTCTGTTCTGGAAGAAAGCTAAGCTCGGGAAGGAGGGTTGCAAAGGTGCTGTGAACCTAAAAATAGAGGTTCACCTCCTCTATCGAAATCTTGCAAAGCTACATGCCTACCCTTCTCGGGCCTTTTGCTAGTACTTTGTTAATGCCCTTATGCGGATCGAGATTAGGAGAAAGGCTCCTGATAGCGGCTCGGCCCCTGGGGTTCTGTCTGAAAGACTTTTGAGAACCCTCCAGGTCTCCGCTAGGCCTTCGAGGTGCTTGTTTTAATTATCTCTTCTCTCCAGCAAATCTGGTTCTCTATCCCCCAAGAAATCCCCCGCTCCCCCCGCCCCCAACACACACACACACACACTACTTTGTACCACTTCGAAGTGTCGATTCCTGAATGGGTTGATTTCCAGCCCCACCCAGGGAAAAGGAACCCACGAATCAGGGTTCCTCTGCCTGGAGCCTCGTCTGTGGCTGGATCTGTCTTCAGGGCCGATGAGCGTGCCCAAGCCCAGAGTTCGCCAAGTTTGTGCTGTTTGACCAGGATAAATGCAACTCTGCCAGTCCCTTCAGGGAATGTGTGAGAGAGCGCCAGACTCTTCCTCCGTATTTTGAATTTGTGTTTGTTTGGGGCAATCCAACTAACCCCCATAAGCATGCACCTCCTCCTACCAAGCCTTCCAAGAGGTTTCCTTCTTGCCCTGACCATGCCCACTCCGTTTCTCTGCGCTTTGGGGGGGGGGAGGTGTCTTTTAAACAAGTGGCAAGTGTCTAGTGTCCACGAAGCCCGTCTCTAGGTTACTGTTGTAGGAGTTTGAAGTGCTTCTGGGCCTAGAACTCTATCTAACAAACGGACCCCCTTCTGATTTGTCTTCCAGAATCATCCCATATGTTTCCCCCTTTCTCCAAAGCATCCCGAATTCCCCCCCCCCTTTCTCCATCTTGGACTGGTCAGTTATGGGGGAGTGGTAAAAGAATGCGTCCTTAGTCGAGGACACAGAACACAGAAGATAAAGGCCACCGCTCTTTTAGTAATGTCTGCCCGCACCCTAGAGGAAACACCCGAGTTCAGAGTGCACTCTCCTCCCACGCCTCCAGGTCTAGAAAGCAAATCTCAAGCAAACTTCCCTGCCTACCAGCCCCCCAAAGGTGCGGGGGCACTGGCTGGCGGCGGGAGCAATCACCCACTTCCAAAGCAGTTTCTGTGACAGGGGATCAGGGTGTCTAAAAGCAGGTTGCCAAGAAACCACCTCAGGTGAAGCGCGGAGAGGGGGGGGGGGGGGAGGGGGAAAAGGAACCAGAGAGTAGAAACCTCAAAAGTGAGGATTCGCATAAGGACGCCCACAGGTCCCCCGAGTTAGTATGGGGATAGATGGTAAACCCAGTGGTTCTTCTAGGGTTTTATATTTTAAAATGACAATTCAGCCTACCCGCCGCCGCGCAAGCACTTACAAGGCCCGAGCGGTTTCTGGTGCCCCCTGGTGCCGGGAACTCAGAATCGGTGAGCGGCGGCTTGGCAGTCACTACCGCGGCTTTCCGCGCATCCTTTAACCCCAAGTCCTGGGACCCACCGGGTACCCACGTGCGCAGCACCCATAATTTTGCCCTGCTGAGATGAACTGGTCCAGGATGGAGAGGGGAACCCGTTTTCCGAGCCCGAGAGAGAACGAGGGTTCATTTGGCAAAGCCAACCTCGGAGTGAAAGCTTGGTCCCTGTACGGGTCGGTCGGTGCCTTAAGTTATTCGCACGCGCGGCAAAGGCCAGGCGTGGCGAGGACTGGTCCCGCCGGTGCTTTGGGGAAGAGAGCGGCTTTGGGGAAGATAAGCAGGGTTGCCTCGAGGCGGGGCCCAGACAGATTCCTGAGAAGAACCTCCTGAAGCACATTCCATCTTTAGCCCCGGCTGTGTGGAGCGGGAAGTGGGGAGAGAGAAGCAAGTGCCACCAACTAAAAGTGGCTCGGAGAGGAGCGGGCCCCGGGGCTCTCAGTAAAGAGTGCGCCCGCTCCTCCTCGGGATTGGAGGAGGGAACACTTTCGGGGCGCCCTGGCCTCCCGGCCTAGGATGAGATGGAGAGCCTCCTTTGGCGAGGCAGAGAGTGAACGTCCCAGTGTTTTCCTTTGCCAGCGTCGCCCGCCACACTTCTGACCGAGGCTCTTCACATCCAATTTTAAAAGCCCTCCGTGAGCCAAACTGGAAAAAAGGGGAAAACCCTCTTAATGCAGAAGGGAAATCTGGTGCCTTCGCAGCTTCCTGCTGGCAGGCACAGCGATCCGGGACGGCGCCTTAACCCCGCGCCTCCCTGCTGCTCGGGATCGCCAGCCATTTCGCACGCACCCGAGAGCTGGCAGAGCTGGCACCCCGGAGGCGGGAGGCCTCGCCTTCCCCCGCTCCCGCTAACGAAGCGCCTCTCTGCATTGCCTTTGCACTGCCTGGGAGTTTTCCTGGGCCTGCGCGCGGGGAGGGAACCAGAGGCGTCTTTTTCCCTCCTGTGGGGTGTACAAGCCAGCCCTCGCAGCCGGAACCTCGGCGCTGTGTGGTTCTGTCGCTTCCCAGTCTCCCAGCCCAACAGCTGCGGAGGCAACAGACGCCCAAGGGATGGAAAATGAATTCGTCTCCGCAGCGGTGGGAGGTGGTGGCCGAATTAAACGCTTTCCTGGTGGCCTTATCAAGGGGCCTAGACTGGAATTCTGGGTGGAGATTGTGAGGGGCGGGAGGATGTACCCCGGAAAGGAGGGAGGGAAGTGCCTGGAGACTAACAGGAATAGTGCCGAGAGGTTTTGGGTTTGGGTATTTACCTGGAAACTGTTTTTGTCCTCCCCCACGGAAAATGTCAAGGCTATTTTATCAAATGCGTGAAATTTCTGATTTGAGAGTGCTCTCCAGGCAGTGCCCTCCCAACTCTGGAACACTGGGACAGAGAGTAACACTGTACCCTTAGGTGACTTAATCTCTCTCCTCACCCCACACCCCCAGCTCTTTGGTTGAGACTTATTGTTAGGTTTACAGGGCTTTCCTTTTACCTCTCTCACCCTAGACTGCATGTCCCCCTTTCTAGGGATATGAGGCCTAAGAGTCCAAAGGACTCTCTGAAAAGACCTGGCCCTCGCCCCCAGCGCCTTTGAATAGCAGAGGGCCAAGGCCTCCTACAGTGTTCAGGAGTCTAACTATGGTCCTGTTGTAGCAAAGGGCACTGAACGCCATAGTCTCTGTTGAGAGGGAAAGGGTGAGAGTCAAAATTTCACAAAGTTGCAAAATTAAATCAAGAGCATTATCTGGTATACCATGGAAGATTTTAAAAACCCAAGCTATATGCAATCCCTGCCTACCAGCAACGGCTAAACGTTTATTGGGCCCTTGCTGAACTTTTTTTTGAGTTCATGTTAATGATCCTGAGAAGTGAACTGGCATTTTAAGCCAAGTCGATGTTTCCAAAGTTAGGTAACTTAACCCAGACACTTTTATGCAGGCCAAAGTCTGTAGTTCCACATTAACTTGTTCTGGTGACAAAATTCTTATTTATTCGGGTTGTTTGAAGGGTGGGCGGCAGACAGGACATTCGAGCCTGCATCCTACCGAGCTGGAAGGAGGGTCCAGCCTGGGACAGAGGAGTGAGCTTGATTTTAGTCCTTGCTGTTGCTTGCTTGGGTGGAAGGCTGGCTTCCAGGGCTCAACTATGGAAGCTGCCAGGTGGGGAGGGACCTTTTCTGTCCAGGGCCTGGCAAAGGCAGCCGAATGGGGCTACCCTATTCGCCTCCGGAGGGCATGTAGGGTGCTGCACGCCAGTAGAAGCAAAGAGTTAGAAGTTGCCGTTTAAGTTTACGTCCAAAATCTGGGACCTGGGGAGTGAAAGGCTGAGAAGCGGTCAGCAGTGGCGGGAGTCGGGAATGCGGGCTGCACCTGGGGTGCACGGGGATCAGAGCGGGAGACCATGGGTGCTCGGGTAAGCGCGGGTCTGCAGCTGTGCGGGAAGAGAAGTGTGGAGAGCAGGGGATCGGGCAGCGCCGGGATCCTGGGCATCCGAGCCTAACTTGCATGGTGTGGTTCTCTCCTCCACGCCGCCCGCCCGCGCAGGTGCCGCCGCTGGACGGGATTCTAAGATGAAGTTATGGGATGTCGTGGCTGTCTGCCTGGTGTTGCTCCACACCGCGTCCGCCTTCCCGCTGCCCGCCGGTAAGAGGCTACCCGAGGCGCCCGCCGAAGACCGCTCCCTTGGCCGCCGCCGCGCGCCCTTCGCGCTGACCAGTGACTGTAAGAACCGTTCCCTCCTTCCTGGGCCATCATCAGTGGACCCCAGGGCACCCGCACGCACGCATGCAGTCACCCGGGGCCAGTCGTGAAGGCTGTGAGCCTCCCCGCTCTCGGGCTAAGTGAGAAGAGCGCTGAGACCCTTAAGGGTACTCTCTCTGCCCGCTGCTACCCAAGGGTCCCAGGTGCCTTTCTTGTGAGCAACAAGGGATCCTTTGTCCAGTGCAGAGAATATGAATAATGTCCCTTTATCATTCCCATCAACAAATCTTCACCACCATCACAGCCAAACACCACCAGAGCACACATGTCTGCCCCCTTTCTTCCCTGCCCCTCTAAGAACCCCCCCCCGGGGGGGGGGGGGTTCCTTCTATCACTGTTTTACTGTGCTTCACTGTGCTTAAGTCTAAAACCTCTTGCATTTTCATCCCCACCTGCAAGGGGATTTGTGAAAACCCAGCCGGAGAGAACCCAGAAGGGCCTCCGTTTCCAGGACTAGCTAGCATCTGCCTAGCATCAAGTCTGTTCGGGGGAGTTCTGTGGTAGGAAGACATGGGGTGACTAGAGCAAGCTGAGAGGAAAGAGAGAAGCATTCAGAACACATACCGGGATGCCAATTCAAAGAAAAGCAAAGGAACAAACAAACAGGGTACTCTGACTTTAAAAACAAGCCTGCCATTTACTACTCAAAAGCTGACGTTCTAGAAGCAAGCAATTACAGACATGATTTGATACAACCTATGCTCCATTCCTCAGAAGCCCATCTGGGTAAAGTGAGATAGATATATGACCAGTGACAGAGATGGGTGGGAAAGTATCTAGGCAACAAAGGTAGCAACAGAAAAATAGACACACTCTCAAAATACTCATTCCCACCCCCCCACACCCCCCCTTAGACTTATTGACTTTGAGGTTCTGCACTTGGACTGTACTGTGGACGTGACCACCCAACCATCCAGGAAGCGCCATAGCCCAAGTCAGCCCCAGGACTGAAATAAACCAAACTCTGTGGTCTTGTACTAGGAAGCAAACATTAAATATGATGTGTACTCCTTGCACAAGTTCCACGAAGGTAAAATTCTATAAGGATTTCTAGCGTGATTTAGGGTTAAAAAATGGAATGTAGTTAACCCCCTGAATTTCAAGCATGAGTCCCAGGACTCTCCATCAATAAACAGTGTAAACTCATGGTTAAAGAGTTCCACATCAATCACAAGCTTAGGACGAGTGTACAAACATTTCTCCCGAAGAAATTCTAAACACCCTCTCTCCCATTGTCTTCAGTCATCTATTCCTACAGGGCCGGCCAGAGGGATAGGAACACAGTGGCAGATGATAATAGTTCTCTAATTCAGACGTCAGTGGAGGGTACAGTGACTGTTTGATTGCAAGCTGGTTAGTTCCTGGAGGTTTAATCACCCGCTGTACAAGTATACTAACTACCTGGGCTGGCTGAGTTGAGCTTTCCATTAGTTCTCACAAGTGAGTGGCTTTGGAACGCAACGAGCAGTTTCCCACTGTCCACAAAAGAGAAGCCTTTCTTCTCCCACGTGCCAGTAATAACCAGGTCTGCTCCTTGGCCTCCATGCTCCTGTCTTAACCATCCTTTGAGACTGGAGTCCTCTAGGAATGCTGAAGTTCACTGGTAGCGGACTTCATGCCAGGAGATTCTGATATAATTGGTTTGAGGTGTAGCCTGGGTGTGGGGACTGTAAGATGCTTTCCAGGTGGGACTAGTGGCCATCCAAGGTTGTGTCATCGTAGCTTGAAAACATCCTAGGAAAACCTACAGCTTCCTGAGTTAATCAGCTGAATCCCATTGGCCGCATAGAGCCCAGGGTGATATGAGAGGGAATGGATTCCCCTTTCTCAAATGATGCATCATCATCTGTGCACAAGATTCTGACTACTGATTTTGTCCAAGAGAGCAGAACACACCCAAATCTGCTTTGTCCATGGAAAGATGCAGTAGAGCCTAGACAGAGAAATTACCCCAAGAGAAACTGAGCTGTGTCCTAAGCCAACTGACTTCTTTCCAGGTATGTTCAATTCAGTAGCAAGCTGTCAGGGCAGGGAAGGCAAAATAATGACAGTGTGCAGACTTTAAATATTCAACTGGTGTCAGCACACCCCTGCCACAGTGCTGACATTTATATCCTTCACTGTATGTGGAGCGACTGGCTAAGTCTGGTATAGGAAAACATTAAGTCATTTCATCTCATTTGAAAATAAAAAGTGCTATAAATTTGGGTCGCTATGATTTCCTTCGGGTGCTTGGGATTTAGTGATTAAGCGGAAGAACGTCTGTTGCCTTAACAGTCACTGAGCACTGTCCATCAGGGCACGGGAGCTGTGTCCATCCGCTCAGAACATTCACTCTTGGGTCTGCACCCATGCCCCTGGCTCCATTGCAAACTGAGCATCCCGAATTCATACGTGGCGTGACTAAGAAAATAGAAGCAATAACTGACTGGCTTGTCTTAAGGTCGGCTATAAAATAGATGGCCCGTGGCCATTTTAAACTGACTCAGAAACTTGGCTGCAGTTTGTCTTTGGAGGCACCCAAAACTTTGTCTCTTGCCCCCTGTGTTCATTTGTGCCTCTTCCTGCTATTGTCTGATTAGAGAGTGTAGGGTGGTGTCTGTGGTGTGGAGTATACAGGTGCTACGGCATTTTAAGGCTAACAGGGAAACTTGACGCTTCTGAGAGCTGAAAAGGTGAAGTCTAAAGTGCAAGATATCCATGATGGCAGCAGACAGGTCTGTGGATACTAGGGGCAGTGTTTACCCAAACCACTAAAATATATTTTGTATGGAAGGGAGAAACTCTATAGGGGTTGGATGGTCTTCAATCAATAACTAAAACTGATTGCTTTCATTTTTTATAGTTCAGGTAGTTCCTAATTTATTATAATACAGTGGGATTACAGCCTGTCAGTTTAGTAGCAGGATGTGAAATTTTCTGTAGAAATAATCTTAGATCAAGCTGTCAAGCTTACAGGGAATAACCCATAGAAAGTCCCATGTAAACCATGATGGAACTGAACCATAACTCATAAGGTTACTAGATAAGGGCCTCTGCTGTGGGTGCCATATGCCATTATATCCGGCGTAAGAGACAAGGAAGCATGAACTGCATGTAGAGAAGCCATTAGAATAGCCATTGAATTTAAAACTGGAAACTTGAATGAAGCCAGCCCAGCACTGTACAGGAGATGGTGTTAAACTTCCAAATCTCCTATTTTGAGATGTGGAACTCTAAATAGGTAAGCACCACCCACTTGCTGCTTCTACCTGTATGGAGGAACCAGTAGGAAAGGTAACTCCTTATACAAGCGGGAAAGGAGACCTGGCTCTTGGAAAGGGGCTCTTGAAATTAAAATCGGTGAGGAAGACTCTTTCAGGGGACACTGATGCCTTGAGATCTGAGACCAGCATCTTCTTTCTCAAGCCCTAATAATTGTTCTTCAGAGAAATGCTTTCAGGGCTCACTTATAATCGAGCAGCCACAGGACACTGCACTGGCCCATCAACCTAAGCGTCATGCTCAGAAGAGTCAATGTTCGCTAACACAAAAGTGGAAATGTCTGGTATTTTCCCTTCCTACTGTATGTGTGACAGTTTTTAAACATACAGTGTTCTTGGCCTTCACTAAATGAACATACTTATGGTATAATTAATCATTTGAGCTCCACCAGAAGCCATTTTATATTAAATACCCCCCATATGCCAGACATTGGTAGCATCCAAAAGGCAAACATCAATCTAGTTATGAATTGTAAGTAGGCAGACAGACAGACAGACAGGTGGAAAGGCTAGTGGACAGGCAGCAGTAAGACAGATAGATACATCTACCCTTTGGCTAAAGTCATGCCGCCAAGAATTTCAAGCAATGTACTTACTGGGAGGAAGCAGAACAGCAAAAGTCCAGAAAAGGGATTTAAGACATGTTTGAATGGTGGGTATTTGGAAGGAAAAAGAGGGGGACATCCCAGACCAGAGAGCAACATGAGGAACTTATAGCCAAGCTATAGGGGAAGTGTAGTCAGACATATAAGGGAGACAGAGCAGTGGGCATGAGCTGGAAGAGGGGCTGAAGTGGTGGGATGTCTCCTTAGGTGATTATGGAGGAGGTACTGAAGTGGTGGGAACTGGGAGATGTCTCCCAAGGTGATTATGGAGTGCTCTGTCTAGGAAAATGCATTTGCCCCATTTTCCATGGCAAGCAGGTGACCGCGGGTGGCCTCTGCTATACAGCAGATGTGTGGCAAATATTAGTTCTCTACTCGTGAGTGGGGCTTTCAGAATAGGCAAATTTTTTGCTTGTAGTTTTGTGTTCTTATGCTTAAAAAGCTTCAAGGTATGAGCACAATCAAATCAAGTCACTCACCCTCAGGGACAAGTAAATACATCTCACCACTGAAGTTAGTGCCCCAGCACCTTCTACATGAGTAACGTGATTTGGAGCAAATAACTTAATATCTTAAAATCAAGCTAGTTTGAGCTCTACTGAACAAGGTTATCTCCATCTTATAGATGAAAGAATTAGTTCTATTTAGATCCTGTCCCAGGTTACAGGTCTAGTAAGTAGGGAAGGCATATTTCAAACTTCAGGTAGGCATCTAGTCCCAAAACCAGCCCTCAACATAGACTATGATTCTAGGTTAGTAGAGTAAAAATAATACAAGTATGTAGCCAAAAGTCTATCAACTAATCCTAAAACATAGATTTCCAGGGAAATCTGTTTTAGATTTCCCAGATTTCCTCTTGGTCCCTTTCCTGACTCTTTCTGACCTGATAAGGTCTAAGGCAACATTATTGATGACCTCAAAGCCCACATCCAAACACATCAGACACATGGGTTTCTGTAAGGATTCCCACAAAACAGGCACAAACTTTCAGGAGAACTTCTGGGAAGCACACTTGTTCTCCAATCAGTCCCCTGCTGCCAGGTGGCAGGCAACCTTCAGGTGGAGGCAAGACGTAAGTGCCAGGGGTGACAGG